TTTTTTGAAACTCAAAGCAAAGAAACAAACAGACGACATTCGCACAAAACAGCGGAGAGTCATCACCGGTTCGAGGCCGGCCAGGACCCAGATTACTTGTCCTACTGCTCTTCCACCCACAGAGGTTCATAACTCAAAAAATCGAATCGCAATCAGACCTTAGCCTATCAAACAAATCAGACGCACTTGTTTGAGACGCACTGCTTCGATCCCAATCTGATCCTAACTACAGTTCTCTGTCGAAAATCGATCTCATGCATACATTCACCCTACACTGGTTACTGTACATGGCCTCACTTCCTACAGCATTGAAACAGCAGTCGAAACGGCATCAGGAGGGTATTCCCTGGTCCATATGCCCTCATCAGGGGTCAGAAGACTCAGAATATATTGCGACTCTAGGGAACCCTGACAGACAGCATTGATTGCTTCCATGGAAGGATTAACTGTCGTTAGCTACGCCCGAGAGACGGTTAACGGGGGCCCAAATATTCGCCGTTTTTGTTGGCAATTGCGGTGCGAATTTCATCGGAAATTTTAAAAACAAACGATATGAGCCCATAGTGCAAACATCAAAAAAGGAAACAGGCCAAAAAGAACGAAAAAAGAAACAAAAAAACACTATGAAACACTAACACAAAGACACTGTCCGAGTCAAAATGAAGTGTCCAACATAAAAATCAGCACAATATGACAGTTTCAGTGCAATTCGGTGCAAAATTCGTCGAAAATAACACCCCTGGTTAACCGCATGTGGTACGCCCACCCCGAAAATCAGTCAGTCCCCTTTCCCCTATTGTTGTCCATCATTATAAGAAACAATAAAAAAAGCTCACTTCCTTTTTCTGGCAATTGCCTTTTCCACCCCTTAAAAATCATAAGAAAAAAAAAAACACTTCCTTTTTCTGGCAATCTCCTTTTTTCTTCTTCTGTTTTTTTTGTGAAAATCTTGGATCCAGTCTATTTGTGGGGAGCTGCACGTATTGGAAACTGAAAGGCATTTTTGGCTGTCGTCCCTCTCTGAGGAAAAAAAACTGTTGTGGGTCTCCTCTGCAGTTCGATCACAGTATGACTGCGAGGACTGGCATCGAAAGGAAGGAATGCGACGCCAGGAGAGAGTAGCAACTACAAAGAAGGAGCTAGAGGTTGGTAATGCGTCGTTGAGCCTTATGGCGACACAAAAACAACCATAATTAATGACAGATAGAATTCAATTTGATTGAATTTACGATTCACTCACTGAGCTGGTGCTTCCTACTGTCTTCACCCGAATAGAATGCCCTGGCATTATCGCGGTTTCCAGACACTAATGGTTAATAGGTGGTGTCATTTCGGCAAAATTTTCACTGAAACTACCATATTTCCCTGTTTTTTTTTTTGTTTTTTTTTGTGCCTGTGAGTTTTTTTTTTCGTTTTTTTTTTTGCCTGTTTGGTTCTTTGATGTTTGTATTATGCGCCTGCATTGTTTGTTCGCAAAATTTCCAACGGCATTGCTTGTGGTGATGCAGCGAAAAAACCCGAATTTTGGGCCTTCCATAAATTCAATTGAACTTTTGCATTTTTTTATTTTTTATTGTTTTAGGCGTGGGAACCTTTGTTCCGCCTTCCTGTGTTTCCTTGTTCGTCCACGAACGTCATACAATCTCGCAGCTACGCAAGCCAGCAAGTTGATAGACGCGTAGAGCAAGCACAACTCCCGCTCTTCCACCTCGCTTGCTCTGCTCTCATTGCATCACATCCTTTCATAATAGGCTTCCTTGTTTTTTGTTTTTTGTTCTTTTAACTTTTTTTTTCTTTTTTCTTTTTTGTTGTTGTTGATAGCCTCGAGATATCATTTTCAAGCTGACCAGGGGCTCGGTCGCACTGGCTGCTGTTGAGTTGAGAAAGTCGACGGTTTTACAAATTGAGTCTAATTGACAGTAATTTGGCACCCTTGTGGGCATTAAAGTTTAAACAAATGTTTTTTGGTTTTCTAAATGATTTTATGATAGTCGTTCTGTGTTTTTCCCGAGAGGGGAAAACAAAATTTGCAGGTGCTGTTGGTCACTACTACCTTGTGTCAGATTGCGACACCTTGCATAGAAATCGGCGTTTACTTCGAATGGCTCAGCACAGACTCCGCAGACTCTGCACTCTGGACTAGATACAGCCCAGATACATGTTGCAGCGTCGGCTGCTCGGAACATGCATAATATGACATGCACATGCAATGTACCAGGCAGGGGTTGCCCAAACGAAATTGGCGTACTGCATGTCTCAGAGGCACAGTCGGGCTTCCCGACCAATCTATCTCCGTCTATATTCGCTATTCTGTTGTCGTACGTTTTCATGGGTCTTTGAACTTCTTTCCTTCTTCCCCCCCCCCTTTCCTTCCACTGTGAACGCCGCAGAAAAGCCCTCAATGCCATTGATGAGATATCTATCCTACCCATGGGTGGGTAGCTCCGATATCTCAACGGGGGAAAAAAAAAAACTTTTCTAAGAAAAGTGCGAAATGCGTGCATCGGCAAAGTCCCCAAAATCTCTTCAGCACTGTGTGAGGATTGAGCCCTCAAGTAGGGGCCTTGCCATGATGTACATGTTCTGGGCTAAGGCCCCAGCAAGCCTCGTGCCCGCCCTAAGTGAAGGCGGGCCAAATCAACAAGAGCCCTCTGTGCCAACATTTCACGAAGTGGGGTCCATACAGTTGCAGCACGCCAGTTGGTTGGAGTGCACCGAGTCTCGGATTTCAGCAAATGCTGAAATGCCCAGGGCCTCTGAGTTAGTTAGGCCCTGGGCACTCGAATGTGAGGCCGACAATGCATGCTGGGTATAGAGGCCGAAAATGCCAAAGGGAAAATCGGCCCACTATCTGAATCTGGCTGCAGGCCTTGATGAAGGAGGCGCAACTGCATTGCCCCGGGGCTCAACTGTATCGGGCTGGGTTCAGCCTCTGGGCCCCGGTCACAGGCTGAAGGGAGGCCGCCCACACGCTGCACTGRCATATAGGCAAGCAGGGCGAGTGAGCAGGGATCTTGGCCAATGCAGGGCATTGCGGGCACGCTGCGCAAATGCATGTGTGCTGCGCTGGGGTGAAGCAGCGCTGCGCTGGGGTGAAGCAGCACTGCGCTGGGGTGAAGCAGCGCTGCGCTGGGGTGAAGCAGGCTAGCGCTAGGCGGTAGGGCGCTGTCTGCATGCAAGGCACTGGCGGCCATAGCCGGGCCGCAGGAGGGTGCAGGAGAGGTGAAGGGCGAAGGTGGTTCTTCGGAGGTGAAGGGCGTTGTGTGGGTACAAGGGAGAGTGTGGGTGAAGAGGACACGTACCTGGTGGAGGTGGAGGTCGGCATTGGTGTTGACATCATCACTCGCTGGTAGTCAAGTTGTCTGGTTGCTTTCATTGCTGTAGTTGTAGGCTAGTCTGTAGAGTAGATAGGGCGCCTGGATCATTCACAAGAGAGAGCTACATTTGGGTTATGCTGTTGGTGTTGCCCTGTTGGGCATGGACATTGACTCACGATTCTTCTGTATCATTCTCAATTGGATGGTTACTCGGTTCCATTGTGCTATCTGGACATTGACTCACGATTCTTCTGTATCATTCTCAATTGGATGGTTACTCGGTTCCATTGTGCTATCTGCTTTGGCTTTGACTACTTGGACTTCAGTGTGATATTGCATTCTGGATTTCTGTGCTTCATCCATATTCATGTTCTTTGCAATTTGGTATCGGAGCTGGTTTGATCGCCACTTACCTCTGGCATGCTGGCGTTATACAGACTTGGTGCGTTGACGATGCTTCTTCGCAGTTGGTACTTGTGACGTCAGGCCATTGATTGGCGCACGCCCTGGGTAGAGAGGGGTGCGCCGGAAGGCTACAGACGACATTATTAGCCGTGGTGACAGGCGGAATGTATGATTGGTGATGAGAGCATGCTGATGTGGCATTGGACTAAGGTGGCACTGCATTGCGTTGTGGGTGGTACCGAGGTCATGACCGGTCATCAAATGCAACATCAGCTCAATTGGTGAGAAATCTGTGGTTGGGGCAGCTATCTCCAGGTACGTTGTTCCCTTACCTTATCTACCCTCTCAATCTCTTCTTACCATGAGGAAGTGAGTCCAACTTGAGAGTCCTCTCTTTTGGTGAGGTGTCATGAGCACGCTACCTTGAGAGACGACAATCTTCCCGGAAGCATACTGGAAGGAGAAAGGGCGGTGCCTCTGAAGGGCCCTGGTCGAAGCACTGGGTCACGGTCACCATGCCAACCCACAGGGATTAGTGCACGCATGCGATGGCTGCTGTCCTGTTTTGGCACTTGCTGCGCTCAGATAGAAGTCTTGCCAAGTGTGCCAGCCTTGTATGAGACGCTTACCAGACCGTCTATAAACATTTCTGGTTGGGTACTCGGAATGATTCTGGCTGTGATCGTCGTCCTGACTGCGACGTTAAAGAATCCCTGAAGAGATGGGGGCGCTCTTAATAATCCTCCTGATCAGCGAGATCATCCGGGTGGAAGGCTCGTTTCCGTACGAGGGTAAATAAGAGTGGGCTGGCTGGCTTACTTGGCTTTGACTTGGGCACAGGAGTGGGCCGAGATACACACGAACACACTGCTCTGCTCAAAGATGCTGTTCGGTATGTTGGATGGAGGGGAAGGTAGGTTCCAATTGGTGCTCAACTGAATACACAACCATACCCATCAATCACACATCTGCTACATTGTCTTTTTGTACCTTTGATTAGTTGGTTGACGGTCTGCTAACCTCACAGACAGATTAGTGTAGGACTGTTGTATGCTACCATAGCCAGTTCTAACTAATGTTGTTGTAAGTGAACCAATCAGGGTGCATCTAGACTATGTAGACAATCTGTGTGAATGTTGTAGACATGCCACTTGATTCGGTATAGTAGGGAACTCGCGGGACACAACTATTTATAGAAAATTACGTGCCGGTCAGATACATGCTGCGGTAGGATTCCATTAGGGGATTCTAGTGTAGACACTATCTGTCTAACTAATGAGCGGGTCAGACACTGTTGATGATAGAGTTGACGAAAGGAGACTGACACGTGCACGGGCACTAAGGGTACCGCACATGTTCCAGGCCTTACAACCGGGAGACGAAGCACGGCTTCGGGCCGAACGTAGAACTCGTGCTTTAGCAGCAGGACTACAGGAAGCAAACAGAGCAGCAAGAGAGCAGGCAACAACAGCCAGAGCAGCTGCGATGGCTAACGGCGCAAGCTCTGCTGCATCATCCTCTGCGTCCTCGTCAGGGACTAATGGGAGCCAGTTGGGAATGCCAACGAATTCCACAAGTTCCTCGGGCACTTCCGGTCCCACAGGTTCTAGACAGTCTTCTAGTCAAATGGCGGGCTCGCAGTTCAGCCCGTTGACCCCGCGTCAAAGGGAGCTCAGAGAGATCCAGCAGGTCGAGATGCTCCGTTGTAAGTTAGAGCATGACATGAAAGAAGCTACCGATAGAGAAAATGCGATGAAAACTATAGCAGCTAGGCTTGAAACTTTAGAGGCTGACAAGGCTGAATTAGAGGGCTTGGATGAGTCAGCGTTGATTGACCCGCTGAAAGTATTGAAGAAGAATATGCTGTCATTACACACACACGTGGACAGCAAATTAGACTTCATGCAGGGCACTCTAGACCAGATCCTGGACGCATTGACAAAGCCAGGATTCCGGCCACCAGCACAATCGCCGTTGCCGTTATCGGCGATGTCAGGCCCCTTTCCGGTTCAAGCTGGCACACAGCCAAGTGGCACATCTGCAGCAGCCGCACAGACTGTTGCATCTTCTTCTTCGGGTCCAGCGGTGGTTGCTACACCACCGCAACAGGTTAGTCCTCAACAAGGACAGCCGCAAGGTCAATGGTATCCTAAGACCCCAATGAAACCATCTCTTGCCTTCTCAGGCGAGAGAAAGGACGAGGAACTCAACACATGGTTGAGAACCGTCCCGGTTTGGGTGAAGGCAAAGAGGACCTTGCCTGAGGACGAAGTGGTAACTGCTGCATCTTACCTCGAGGGTAAGGCAGCCAAGTGGTTAGATGGTGTAGTTATAAAGGCCGGGTATGGGAGACGGATGGCGGACTGGGCTAAGTCTTTGACGTTAGACCAGTTCATGGAAATGGTAGAAGCTCGTTGGCATAACCCACAGGAGGCTCAAAAAGCCACTGATGCCATTAACAAACTAGACCAACGCAAATTCAGGTCAGTTAGAGAGCTTACGACTACCGTTGAGAGCCTGATCCTCGTCCCAGGCATTAACTACAGCGACCAGTTCCTATTGACTACGTTTGTCAGATGTCTCCCAGAGAACATTAGGAACTTGCTAGCCAGCGAGGCACGCACTGAGTACCACTCGTTTGAGACACTGTCTAGGAAGGCCTTAGACTTGGAGGCCACACTAGGCAATGCTCAACCAACCTCTCACACAGACACGAAGAAGAAAAAGAGTCCTCAGGAGTGGAAGAAGAAGGGAGCTAAGTTGATGATGGTGGAGTCTGATGGGACTCAAACTGAGATCGACGAGCTCACTGACCTGATGGACTACTCAGAGTATGACGGCGAGGAGGTAGCTGAGGGTAGCACCCTCGCCGCGGTAGTTAAGACTAAGGCGGCAGGCCGAGGGAAGGGCCAGCCTAGGGGTCAAGGGAAGGCCGCCTCCAATCAGACCAAGCAGGCTAAGTGGGTAAAGGCAGGTCTTGATCAAGACGTGTGGCGTGACCGCCGAACGCGTGGTGCTTGTACGGACACTCGCAGTGCAAGTGCTAAAACGCTAAGGTTACGCAGAAGGTAGCCCCAAAGATGGGGGCAACCTACTCCCAGGCTTCTAGCTTGAGAAACGCGTAGGGCCAGTGGAAGTATTAGCCGCGTCGACTCAAGATGAAGTGGGATTGATACCCTCCCCACTTCATGACAAGGCCAAGGCTAATGACCCCTTAGTCACCCCGCAGACACAACTAGACCAAACTATGCTCTGTACGTTAGATGTGTCTGAAGCCTTAGAAGACTTGGAGAGTGAGTGGTCAAACAAGGACCCTCGCGAGTCTTGGGTGGCGCTGAGGAAAGGTCCTAGAGGGGAACATTTCGTGGTGGAAGTCGATGTAGATCTTTTCTGGTCCATCCCAAGATGCCCCCGTTCAGATCAGACGCCAGACAGGGGGGCAGCTCGAGGCGACCTGGCAAAAGATGACTTTTGGGTCCGCTGCCTGAAGGCTTGGCGCCAACTCCCTCTCCCGGAGAAACCCGGACCCTCCAGATGGGAGGAGGTAGCCAGACAACCCTTGTTTGGCAACAGAAAGATCACGGACCGAAAGGGAAGGGCTTACTGCAGCTCGGCCTCCCTGTGGAACAGTTGGGTGAGAAAAGGTATAATCAGAGTCAAAGACATCTGGGATGTAGGGAGCAGGGACTGGAAAACAGCCCCGCAGATGAGGACGGCACTGAAACATTGCCACAACCTGGAAATGAACCTGGAACAGCTGATCTTTTCGATTCCACTGSAMTGSGTCCGCATTTTGCGCAAGGGCCCAGGATTAAAGGAGGGGGATTGGGTCGCGGTCCCGGGAGATCCAGAGAGTGTAGGGAGTGTTGTGGAGGTACGCGGAAACGAATCGCTGATAAACCTCTTCCATAAAAAAAATGACAATCTACTAACCAGCTATACCCCGGAGGTGACGAGATGGCACCTAAACACCGACCTGCATCGGATTAGGGTGCTACATACGAAGGAGGGCTGGCTAGCATACCGACCGGAGACTCGGTTAGCCGATCTCCCCCTAGACCCGGAGGAGTGGCAATGGCCGCCTGCGCGCGGGATCCACTCAGCTAAGAAGGTGCACCTACCGAGTCTCTCGGTGAAATCCACGTACCGACTACTGCGGCCCAAAGTAAATCTGAAAGATATTGTGAAGGACTGCTGGAAATCTCATCTGAATCTGGGGGAGGACCTCATCCGCCCCATACGGTGATTTGCCCTTACGCGATCGAAGCCAACAAAACTGCCCTCACTGCAATGGCAGATAGAACACCGTTGCCTCCCTACTAACGACTGGCTGATCGACCGCACACGCTTAGAACAAACAGGACGGGCTCTTCCGTGGTGTAAGTCCTGCGTCTCAGTGTTTCCCTCCAGTAAAGGTCCCTGAGACGATTGAACATATTTTTATGCAATGCCCGGGGGCTGTTCTCACATGGCAATGGTGGGATCGAATTTGGAGTAGTCTGGGCACCGACTCCCGGTGGCCGTGGGACTGGAGGGCGATCTTATGTGAAACTTGGTCCTCCCCCTTAGGTAGCACTTTTGAAAACAATATGTTCAAAACAGGTAGGAGGGCGGTCGTTTGGGCAATCTGGAGGAGACGTTGCATACACACCATGGAGGGGGTCCGTATAGCTGGGGAGGAAATGACAGAAATATTGAAAGAATTTGTTCAT